TTTTAATTTTATATTTTATTCTTCGGAAAATTATTATATTTAATATGCAAATAATTATGTATATATATATGATTCAATTTTCAATAAAGTTAATTAGAGTGGAATTTTATAAAAAAAGGAAAATTTGTTTTATATTAATTATAGTATCTGAAATTAATTATAGACAGAGAGATTCTAAATATTTCTAAATAGAGAAAAGTAATACGATAATTTAATAAATTGGAATTATTTAAAAGAGTTTACATTATATTATTTTAGGTGTGCTCAAAGGTAAGTGGTTAGCAATCGTTATTATTAAAATTAATCCTTTATTTTATTTATATAGATTTAATATACCTTTGATTCCTAATTAGCTCTCCCAATACAACATTAACACCCTGAGTTAAGTTCGGACTTGTAACAACATTTAGTATATTATATTAAATTTATTTCTTCTATTTTCGAACTGCTACAACATATATGGTAGAACGATTTTACAAATTAGGTGGCTTAAAGGTTACCATATGGTAATGCTTCCAAGATGTTCAGCCCCTTCAATATATTTTATAGTGTGATTTGATGAGAGTATTTAAGGTTCAAAGATTGTACTTTTACACGTATATTTAATACATAACTCAGTGGCGTCGCTAAGGGGAGGCACACAGGGGCTCGTGCCCCCTGGAAAATATGAATAGCCCTCTGAAGCAAAAAATTTTTTTTTATGGCTCCTTAATATCCCCGTGAACTAAAAATAGATTTTTTTGATTGTCCACTGAATGCAGCGTCTACATGACAGGATTTTCACTGGATGCAAACCCCCTTCAAAAACCTTTGCCTACCCCCCTAAAAATTATCATTATTTTTACCTATTTATTTATTGATATTCTTTTCAAAGAATTTATAAAGGATAATTTAAATTAATCTATCTCTACTACCAACTATCGATATTTTGTGAATATAAAGAATTTATTTTTTAGATAATAAATTCAATTAAAACCTCCATTTTTACAATGAATTAATTATTATGGCATTATGAGCTTGCTAAAATATCTAAAAAAAAGGATAGTTTATTTGGAAAACAATGTGTATGATTGTTTGCAATATATAGATTTGGTCGATGAATTGCATTATAATACAATAATAAAAGTATTAATTTTTACAGCAATAAATTTTGTCCTATTTCATCTCAAAATTTAATAGATAACCCCCCAAAAATTTTTTATCCTACACCCATTAGAGCAGCTTACCCCCTCAAAAAAATAGGATGCAAACTGTTCCTACCCCTCCCGCTCATGTAGACGCTGACTGAATGATTTCTTTTATAATTCCATTAAGTAATATATAGATATAATTTTATTATTTAGAAATTAATACGATTATTTAAATTTTTATTAAATGAATATTATTTTAATTATTATATTAGATTAATACATATAAAATATATTTTCACTATGTCAGCTTGCAATCAAATTCTATATTAAAAATAATATATCAATAACTCACTAAATATTAATTTAGCTTTAACAGTTGAAGCTTAATTGACTTTTATTATTTAAATTATTATTTAACCCTAATTAAATAAATATATAATTTATTATTTGAAATTAACAAATTTAATATTGTAATTAACCGAGTTCAAAATGACTAATCAACTTTATATTTATTTTGAAATTTTATTACCATACCTTAAAAAATTTTCAAGGTCCAAATAAGTATAAGAGATTTCTTTATAAAAAGTAAGTAGACATATAGTTTATAATCCTCTACTATATACAGTTGTTTATAAAATATTAGATATAAAGCCACTTTTATAGGCGTATGTTATATAACATATTATACAATTAATATTATAACAAATTTTACTAATAAATGGTTTTGATAATAAAGGTTTTTGATAATAAATATAATAACAAATGGCATTCAAGTATTTATCGCCATCTATTTATTTATAAATAATTATAAAAATAAAACATTTTATTATTCATTTCTTTTCTTTTTACGTGTTTTTAGGAAAGCTATTTTTTTCTTTTTCGAAAAACAGTTCTTGATTTAAATTTTTAATACAAGTATATTTTTTTACAAACTACTATTATTTTAAGATATAATATACCAAGTTGCTGTGACAATATATAAAATCTTAATTGTTTCATCATATCATTCTGGTCTTTATTTATAGTTTGAAAATGTTTCATTTCTAATATGGCATTGCCGTGTAAATAACACCAGGCTTCAATATATTTGCATAATTATTTCTTCCAAAGATTTTTAGTGTTTTTATTTTATCAATTATTTCTGATATTAGTTTACATCGTGAGTGTCATGGCTCTTACTGCAAATTAACCAGCATCTATTATTAGTGTTGCTATGTAATTTAAGATTATTACTATAACGGCTGAGAGCATATAAATGCATATTTTAGATAAACAATAATGGTCAACTGTGTAGTCGTTTATATATCATTTAAAATGGAAGATAATCTTTTAGAAATTTAATATCTCACAATGATTTTCTCGATTACTAAGCTAGCTTCCATAATGTCATCCAAGAGGAAGGAAGCTCTAACCACCATATAGTTTTCTATGATTTGGATTGGTCGTTTATACTATCTCCTACAAAAATTGTTGATTTGGTTTAGGCCTATAAATTTTTCCCTATTAGTCCATTCTATAAAATATTGCCTAAAATGGTTACAGAGAATATACTAGTTTGATAACCTTTTGTCAATGTAAGTTGCTAAGAATTATATTATTGCATTATGTTATTTTTTATATGCCAGTTTATTTTGTATGCATAATATAATAAATGACAAAATATGAAAATCAGAATAATTGTTCAGAGTTAACAAATTTTAAAAAAGTCCCGGATAGTTGAGCCCCCTGAGATTGTGAAGGCTAGCGACGCCCCTGACATAACTTTTCAAAAGTTCTGACGATTTATGTATAAACTTTTCTAAAAAAATCACTGTGGTAAAAACAGAAACTAAAATTTGCAACCTCGTTTTCACCAAAATGTCTGAAATAATGATCCCAATCCACAAAAAATTTTCAGAGATCAAAAATGAATGAGTCTCGATCAAATACGGCTCTGGTTACCAGTATCAGGCGTGGTCGTAAACTTTCTCTCTCTTTCCTATCTGCTACTCCTACAGACGGCCCTCGGGATCTTTCCTATCTGCTGGTCCTACAGATGGCCCTCGGGGTTACGAGTCCCGGAATTATTTAAGTGCTAATTATACACATGCGCTATCGCGGCGGCCTATAATGGCGAATCGGGCTCTCGGAAAAATCCCAGAATTATTCATCTGTGCTATCGCGGCCATTTAATGGCGAATAGGGCACTCGGAAAAGATTTTGTTCATAGACCAGCCAATTTCACTTACAGGATACGAACCCGCGTCTCGATCGATTCAAACTCATTATAGGCTTCCAAGCCGTTGGATTACAGGCGTACACCACTACGCCCAGCCATGAAAATTACAACTTTCGGAGGTATTTAAATAAAATTATGAGAAAATGAAATGATTCTCATAACCAATTTTAAAATATTTCGTTTAATATATTGTTAGCAAATTGTTTTATTAGTTTGGAAATTAAAAAAGAATAGGTACATATATTAAACCTTGCGAATTATCTATGAATAAATCTTTTTCAAACAAACATTTATTTTCCATTCTTAATATAAACAAATTAAAATCAGTATTATAAAAAGTTGCATGAGGTCCATTGTGATGAGTTTTGTTTTTTTAGTTCTAAAGATTTCGTTATTTTTTTATATTAAATCATATTTTTCAACTTATATTATAATTTGAAAAATTTAATAAGCAAAAATATTACATAATATAATATACTAAACCCTAAATTTTGTCATTAGCAATGTGTAGTTATAGTTACCAACTTATAATTATGTATTCAAAATCAAATCAATTTAGAGTTACAATATATTGCTATAAATATTTAAAACCTTGTTTCACAGTATTCTTATATAGATCAGAAAAATAAACTTGACTCAATTCTTGACACTTTCCAAACAAGCCACCTTTAATAAAATGTGTAACAAAGATAACATAATTCCAAATCAATATTTCTATAAACAGTCAAATCCCACTTCATGTATCAGACATGCATGGGCCAATTTTTAATTTTCTTCTTAAATATACCGAGGTCTGGCCTAATTTTTTTTAAAAATATCTGGGCCAGGCTGGAAAGATGTTTTAAATTGCCATTATTAGCTATAAAAATAGTATAATTAAAATAATCCAGACAGCCCTGAAATTTAAAAAAAAAAATACAAGCCAGGATGGGCCAAAAATTTTTTAGAAAAATAACCAAGCTTGGTCTATGCAAATGATACCTCTGCAAAAACCAAGCTTGGTCTATGCAAATGATACCTCTGCAGGTCTCTGACATATCCTCTCAGAAAATCTCATGCTGAGATTCCTTAGATAATAAGAAACAAAAATATCCAAACCAATACTCTAACTTTTCAGACTCATGGCTAGTCTAAAATCAAAGGATTTTAATATTTATAAAGTATTTGATTGTCAATTTATCTAAATATATTTATAAAGCCAACTAGATAGAATTTGCTTCAAATATTAAGCAATATGACCTTTAATTATTACTTGATATAGATTTATTAGTTGAAAGAAAGAATTATATAAATGGATAGATTCATGATGGAAGGAAATTTTGTGTTATACTAGGCATGTATTAATATATAAGACATAAAAAAAACATTACAAGGTTGTTAAAACAAAATTGATTACACTTTTAATATAAAAATTTTAATAAATCTCAATATTTTTATTTTAAAGAACACTTATGTAATTTTAAATGTAAAACAATAGAATTGCCTTTGTTGAACAAAATCACTAAAAAGTGCAATAGATTAATGGACTAAAATTCTTTCATATTTTAATTACTAGAAATAAGTTATTTTATCAAATATATTTTAACCTCGCTAATATTAAATCTATCTAATATATTGAACTCAAAATATATTCATGTATAATCAAATTATGATAAAAAATCAATAACAAATTTATTTTTAACATAATAAATTATTGGAAATTGTCTATAATGCTGATATTCATTATTCTAAAAATAGAAATCACAAAATTAATATTAAATAAAATATATATATATAAATCAGAATAATAAATTTTCGTTCATTTTTATCAGTAGCAGAACTGGAATTATCATCATTTTCATATAAGCTAATTTTTACTTCTTGAAAGGTAAGATTCTAAAAAGAAATATATAATAATTAAATAATAAAATATATTTCAGATATAATTTCACATCCATTTAATATCAGTAGCAGAACTGGATAAATTTCATCATAAAATTTAAATTACCTTCAAGTATATCCCACAACGTTATTCCATAAATAAGATCTAAAATAAATTAATTGTTTAAATAAATAAATAATTCAATTAATTCAGACAGCCAAGGGTTTATCAACATATTTTCAGTAAATAAATTTATTATCATCACTAAAAATTAGTATTTACCTTGTCGGAAATTTAAAAATAATGAATGTAGGATGAAAAATATTAATAGGGATATTTTGTATTATTATTTTTGCTTAGCATTCAAATTATACATTGTAAATATTATTATTTTTTGTACAATTATACCTTTATTTTAATATCTGATATAATATATTGTCAAATGATAATGGCGTATAATTATAATTTTCATATATAAAATTAACAACGTCGAAAAATATAAAATAGGAATTTAGGAAAAAGGAAAAGGGATTTAAAAGAGGATATCTACAAAGGAAGTTAATAAATAAAAATAAATAAAATATAGGAAGGAAAAAAGAAAATATAAAAAATATGGAGAAATAAAACTTAGGTAGAGCGAATAATGGTGGTAGCGGGTCTGTCGTAAGAAATGGGATACACAAGGCCGATCGGTATTTTCTCTAATCCATCTCCACAGATTTGCTGTTAAAGGTGGTGAAAATGGAGCAGACTATGGGAATAAATGAGCAAGAGGGATCCAACTGTATTTGGTGTTTTTCCAGATTTCTACAAGGACATCTACATTATGGTTGGAGGGTACATTTGGATCTATGCAGATGAAGTCCCAAACCAGGTTCTGACCTCTTGACCAAGGAAGATATTTCATCAGATCGTTTACGTTTTCCATCCATGCTTAATATACCGGTTGTTGATTTAATTCTGGAATGCCTGCGGATTTGAGTGCACGCAAAATGATGTCATTGTATTTGATGTGACAAACTGCTTTGATTAAAGCCACTAGAGGTAATGTCTATTCTTGCAATCAAGGCTGGTTTCACAATGTTTTATTGTTAAGGTATAAAAATTTCGCAATTGAGCCGTAGGCAATAGCAAAGCTTAGCTCGTCAGTGGAAAGCAGCAAATTAAGGTTATTGGAGGGTATCATTTCCAGAAACTCGTACCGATTCTGTTATATTTGTTTATATTCCATTGTTAAATATTATGTTATTTTGTTTGGTTATCATAGTTTATATTATTCAATTTCATTATCACTTTATTAAATTCATCACAATTCAAATTTTTTTTCTTCCTTTTATATTGTAAAAAAAAATAATCAATAATCCATAAAAAACCTTTCTTTAAGAACTAAATTCAAATAAATGCCGTCTAATTTTGTTACGCAAAAAATTGTATTCTCTTGACGGGACAAGACTGCTTTTTCAAATATATTAAAATGAAAGTAACGAAATACAAAAATTCTATTAGAAACAAATAGCGAAATACCAAAATTCTATATATATATTTTTTTTTACCTTTTTTAAGTATTAATTATAGATCTTTTACCTCTTCACCTTTTAAATATTAATTATAGATCTTTTCTTCCTTTCTTCTTTAATTATTAATTAATGAATCTTTTCTTCTCAAATATTTCTTTATTCATAAATTTCCATAAAAATAATAAGTAATAGTATATACATAAATTTCTCTTTAAAACAAAAATAAACATCTTTTTACTTTGTTGCCACTGTATTTTTCTTTTTCTACAAAAATAAACAAAATATATGGCTAACAACAGGTTCGTAAATATATATAAATTAATCATAATCCTTTAAAATATAATGAATTTTTATCATCTTAATACAACATATTCAAAACTGGTCTATATCCCATATGCATAAACAAAGCAAATCTGAGTCCAAATATATAGTTAAAGTTGTTGAAATATTAGGGGCAGTGTCCGTAGACAGTTCTATCGTCGGGGAGGGGGAGAGATCGACTGGGTTCGATGGTCTGGGAATTTTGGAAAGGGTGGTTAGTACCATCGTTACTACATTATAAGGCGACCGGCAGTCCATTAGTGTATCGTTACATACCGTGACTGGACCTAGTGGATTTAAGTCCTAATTTAAATTGATAAATAAGGAACGGCATACACCGCACCGCTGGATTAAGCGGATTTAAGTCCTAAATTAATTTGATAAAAAAATATAAATAACGGCAGTCGCCGCAGGGCTGGATTAGGGCTGATTTAAGTCCTAAATTAATAAAAAGAAACGGCATACGCCGCACCGCCGTATTAGAGCGGATTTAAAATTATTTAATCGCTGGTCGTCACGGTCGTATTTACTGAAGTAAACAAATTTTTTTTTGTCGGAGTTTTTTTTTTATATAGAAAAATTAAGAATTTATTGTTTAAAAAAATTATCGTCGTCGTAGTTTATATAAAAAAGAATTAATTCCAATTATGTAAAATAAAATTGTTGGTCGTGGCTTATCAAAAAACAAACAAATTAATTTCAATTACATAATTTCCACCTATTATTATACTATAACGATTTTCACAATAAAGTAATTATTTGCCATCCTTAAATCTGGCTTGGTTTATTTTCAAGTGAAGAAAATCGTAACAAGGTTTTATAAATTGTAATTACGTGTAAAAAAAAAAGGTACAGGAACAATTATATACACAAAAAACAAAATGGATAATTAATGACAAAAACAACGTGTTTTCTTAACACAACAGTTGTTTTTGTTGTTACTTAGCAGGGTCTAGACAAAGGTACCTTTTAAGTATTAATATGTAAAGATTCAGCTCTTTTTGAAAAGGAAAAGGAATTTTGGGCAATACCAGACTAATTCACAAAACTATTACTTACAAAAATGTTCCACCTTAATTCAGCGCGGCGACAATTCGTTGCTTATCCAATATAGTTGCAATTTATAATAAATTTATCAATATAAAACAAAGCATGATTAAATAGAAGTCATTTTGAATGTTGGTCCTATTAATTATTTCTTTATATTTATATTTTTTTACAAAAATCTCAATTTTATTTACCTAAATGTGTAATATCAATAAAATATGTAATAATATCAACAAAAAACATACAAACCAATATTAATACCGATTTCTTTGGTGGACCAATTTGCCATGTTGTATAAATCAGAGTTCGAACCGTTATGTATAGCGGTTCGGTTTGTTTCGGTTTTTTTAAATTTTATAAAGATTTTGTTCCATTTCCGTTTTTTTTGAAGGTATCATATAGGCTCGGTTCGGTTTAGAATTTATAACGGTCCTTTTCGGTTCATTCTGGTTTTTATAAATTTGATTTTTTTATAAAAAAATTAATCATAAACCATATATATTACTCTTAGAGAAAAATCTTTTTGATTTATATTTTAATAATTCCTTATTTAATTTAACCATGAAGATAATTTTCTTATCTAAAACTAATAAATTTGCCTAATTTCTAATGAATTGAGCATATAAAGCATAAACAATAAACTTGGTATTTATTGATATGAAGATAATGGCTCACGCATAATTGCCCCCATGGAAAGTTAAAATTTTCAAATTTAGGTTAATAATTTATAAAATTTAATTATTTCAAAACCGTTGTGAACCGATTTATATATTATAAAAGTTCGGATACGGTTCAGAAAAATATAATAGTTCGTTCCGGTTTCGCGGCCCGGGTCGAAATCCTGAATTAAAAATGATATTTATTTTTTATGATTAATAGAATTATTTTAAGAATTTTTAATTGAATCTATAAAATGAGTCAGTCAAGGAAAAAATATTCTTTAAGTCAACAATTATTTTCTAAATTCAATCGTTGGATATGATTGGAAAATTCAACCTCTAGCATGAGACTTCCCTTTTGATAAATTCCTTTACTTTCTTAAAAATAATTTGAATTTTTTTGGATCAACATATCTTCTAACATGCTAAATTGGTCCACCAAAGAAATCAAACTATAAATATTCATTTGATAAATTAATTTTTTTTCTTTTATATCCAACCTACAACATTTCTATTTAATGATCCTTTTGTTTTATACTAACAAATTGCAGCTGTATTAGAGACGAATTGACGCTACCAAATTGCCGCAGCGCTGAATTGGCGTTGCCCCAAATTGACGCCGCCTCGAATTGACGTGACACCAAAAAGCTTGTAAAAGAAAAGAAGTAGAAAATTAAAAATACTAATAACTTACGCCCCCTTCCCCTCCCCCCGTTTTGTGTTATTTGGAATCCAAAAATCCAAAATAAGATGATATCTAAAAATGTAATTGATAAGATTATTTCTCCAGGAGCTAAATGTAATTTTTTTTAAATATTACATAAAAATTAAAGTGTATATTTCAGAAATTAACAATTTTTTTATATTATATAAAAATGAATTTTGTATTTTTTTTAAGAGCCTTATCAATTCCATTTTTGGTATCTTCTGTCGTTAAAAAATTATATATTTTATAATAATAATAAAAAAAAGAATTTCTAAGAAATTTACACAATGTGGTATGATATTATTTAAATAATGATTGATATTTTTATTTTATATTTTTACGATTTTACCAATCTTTAAAATTATTAAAAAAAAGAAGATAATTATTATCGGATTGGATGATACCAAAGTTTCTTCAATGTTATTTTGAGAATCATTTTTAATTTAAATGATATTTATTATTTTATCAGAATCCTGCGAGAGAATTTAAAAAAAAATAGTTAATAATAAATAATTAGCAGTGATTCATTTTCATGATCCCATTTGCAAAAACATAAATAAAACTATTATTCGAAATCTGACTTTCAAAATCAAAAATCATTGGAAACATTTGTTTTAAGAAATTATTATTATTTCGATTTATTCAATTTTGTATTTTTGTATTTATTGTTATGATTTTTGGGAAAATTTTAAATAATATACACGAGGAAAAATAATACTTTTAAGATAAATTATGGAGTAAAAAAAATAAAATAAATACATATTTCAGGTGGCTAAGAAAAAATAAATTTAGTTAGTAGACACAATCGATGGAACCAAATATAATGCCTGAATGTGTAAAAACTATAACCCCTTATAATTCAAACCGATCCCCCCCCCCCCCGGCCAAGACGGATTTTCCGGCTTATCAAGACCGAGTTCGGGTTGTAATTATTGGCCGGTTTTGGATTAAAATAAATACTTTAATGATCAGTGGAAAATTTTGGACCAGGTATAAAATTGAAAATAAAGAATATTTCGGGTTAACTCGGGATTAATAAAATAAAAAT